CGTTTACTACAGTATAAATATTACTGCCAGTTTAGCTCTTCACACAAGACAATGTCGGGCCTGGATCGGCCGCCACAACTAGTCTTTAACCAGAAGGAATCGGATAACGGAGATGTTTGTATCGATCATTCTGGAGAAATTGCTGCCCACATCTCTGAACTCTTCAATAACAAGTCTTACAGTGATATTTCTCTGGTAGTTAAATCGACAGAATTTCCCGCACATCGTGTAATTCTTGCGTCGCGATCAGAGTATTTTCGTGCCCTGTTCTATGGGGGTCTTTCAGAGGCGCACTCTTCTACTGTTCACCTAAATGGTATAAGTGATACCGCTTTCTACCACATTCTGTGCTATATATACACAGGAAGACTTAATTTGTCTGGCCTTGCCGTAAGTTTTCGTCCGACCTTACTTTCGGCTATGTGTATGCGTTTATAATATGTGCTAACTGCCCTTAATTAACCTACATGTCATAACCCACATGCTAGAACAGTTTCTAAGGTTTCAGTCAGTATCAGTCAGTATATTTGGAGTCAATGACCGAAGCGGTACAGGAAGGCACAAGTTCTTGTGAAATATGCAAACATTGTTACAGATAGCTTTTGTTGTGCAAAAGTGCATAGAAATATTTTGGAAATATGAATTGCTTATGAGTAGTGAACACCTTTACACATTACTGTGTTGTGATTTTTTAAGTTGTGCGACACAAGATTATGACTGAAGTCTATTATGTCGGTGGCTATTTATTCGTACTTGTTTTCTTAACTTATTTTCTGCGTAGTAGGACATTTTCCTTGCCTAAGCTGGTTGATTTTCATGATGTTGCTGACTTTACTTTCCCACGCATTACGGCCTAAGGTGGCACATCAATAAACCACTTCCGTGTCTTCAAATACATTTTCTTGCCAGATTTTGATCTGCAATCTTCATTGCCAGTTAAACAGCGACGTTGGATAAAGGGTAGTTGTACTGGGCTTATGGGGCAAGTTACGAAGAAAGTCTTTCTGGGTTGGCCTGAGGTATTATGTTGTTTCAGTGAATGTTATCCGTCTCATTTAAGACCATGTCGGTGAACGGCTGAGGTGGAATTTGGATCCATTCATCCTCGTTCCAGAAAACTGAACTTAAATCAGATTCTGATCTGGACTTTGAAATCACCATACGAGATGCTAACTTGACCCCACCAAGTCAAACAATTTAACTTTTATAATAACAGTTGTTCTTTGCAAGCTGAATCACAACTAAGCTCTGCCTAGTTTGTAAACATTAACAGACCCCTAGAGGACTCGTTATAAATCTTATAGCAACGCGTTCTTCCTTTTCAGCACGAAGATGTGTTGGACATTTTGGGATTGGCATGCCAGTACAATTTTGTGAACCTTCAAGCTGCCCTTTCCAAGCACTTTACGCACTCACTTACCTTAGACAACATCTGTTCAGTCTATGATGCAGCAATTGTTTACGATTTGGAGGAATTAGTGCTCGCCTGCTTGGAGTTTATGGACCGATTTGCTCCCACCATTCTCTCGATGCCTCAGTTCGAGCGTCTGTCTAAGGTAAGCGCGGATCCTCCTGTACTTCTGCTGGTGGCGCACATTTATAAAATGTCCCCTTTACTTTCGTCTTTACTTTCCGTTTCCTCTTCGTCGAGCTAGATACTGTTGCTTATTATGGACTTATTGCTGTCACTGGCCTGCCGCACTTTTTCCAGACATGTGTTTGGAATTAGGGAATTCATGCGGTCCAAATGTGTTTGCCACAAGCTGGCCGCCATCCCTGCCAATTTGTTTCAGTTGTTGCACCTCTAACTTGACGTGTTTGCGTCAGTCAGTTGTATTCTCCACTTCCCTTCTGTGCTTGATACAGCTGCCATCATGCCTGATATAACCGGCCTCGATGATGTCGTGGATTGTACTTCTACACGCGGGACGATTTGCGGCAGCGAATTTGGCAAACTCAACCTATTCTCTTTTAAAGTGTCAGGGGCCGAAAACTTAAGGTCCAAGAACCGCTTTCATGTCTTGATAAACTGCGTCGAGCCAGGTCTCCTTTCCTCCTTTTCGACGATTCAAATGGGCAGCGGCGTCGGATCGAGGTCGGTATAACAGAGCTCGTGTTGTTGGCGACGGAGAACCTGCCCAAACCATTTCAGTCGTCTTTCTTGGATGGCTTGGAATATTCTCGCGACACTTTCGCAGCGAGTGCAGCGAGTCTTACTTAAGACGTAGTTGGTGTAGCTCCCTCATTCTGTCTGTTGCTGTTCTATTTTGATAGTCAGCAACAGTCCCTGGCTATTGCAGCTGTCAGCATTGGTATAAGAGCCTGGTCTCGCTACTCTCTAAAGTCAACCGTTCAGAGTCACTAATGTCTTTCGTTGT